AAGCTACAATGATGTCCGTGCGCTTGCGCATTTATCTATGTGCATTAAATATACCAATAATACTCTTTAAAAACTTTTAATTTGTAAGTTTCTTTTGAACTTTTCAAAAGTAATGTTGTAGATCCATGTATGAGCTCCGATACCAGCTGTGGCAGAACCATCCAAATTATATGGCCCACATGCACATGTCATTATCCTAAAGACCTCTGACTGCTGCACACGAGCGCCAGATAATCTCGGTAGTCTGTCAGGTGTCATCAAGGAACCTCGAATCATCCACATTTTATAACTCATACAAGATTAACATGGAGTTACCACAACATTACAAAATTTGATACATAAAATAAGTTACATCAGAGTGCGGAAGACTTATAACATTTGTTTACAAACACATGTTCAAGTCAAAACTTTACTTGAGTTCAAATGGTGAGTAGAACTACAGAAGCAACTTAGGTGAAGCATCTAAGGTAGATGAGACAACCAGATCATGTTGAGCCCACCGACATGATGGCCTTTATCATCACAAGCCAGATCCTACAATAGGGGCTAACAAACCCTGAGTACTTGAAGGTACTCAACAAGTCTTACCCGACTAAAAGAAAATACTCCAAGGGTATGCAGAGTTAAAGGAAAGTTTGAAGCAAGAGTAGCTTTTGCAGAAAAGCTTACTATAAGTGGATTCTTACTTTCAATGTGTTAGCTTCGTGTTAAGTTATCAGTAGTATCCAGTTTGCACCTGATCTAAATCAATCACTTCATTAAGCATCTCATCTCTTCTCATATTCATAAACATAGGTAACCATGTTTCCATTGATTAACTACGATGTATGGTCAGAGGGTTGAGTCTCCATAACCGAGGAGCATGACAATTCGAATTGATTTGGCCCAGCTAGGGTTTCCTTACCACATGACATATGCAGGTCCTAGACCTACATATATCAACCTTCACTCGGATCCTCCAAAACATGAACGGGTCCAGCGCTACCTGAGAGCACAGTACTCCACCTCCCTATGTCGTTCGTCCATGACAGATTCACTGGATGTGTACATGCTAGTCTCACTATCTCTCCACTCCCAGTGCACGGTTGTCCTTTCTCATAATGGAATAGCCGAGGTATTGGGCTTACCGGAGCATGTGGCCAGTACTACAAGGTCTCGACCACATGGTGGCCTACAACGAACGGTCCTCAATCGACAAAGACGGGACAAGCATGACCAGGCAACCCTATCGGCTTAACCACCAGAGACATAACCCATGTCCCATCCGGTCTTAATTTAAATATTAACCTTATCATAGAATTATCACGACCCATAAGCAGAGCTGAGAAGAGCAAGGTAAACATGTTACTCTAGAATGATGAAACCATCATTCGACTTCGATCGAAGTCTAAGCATCACTAATCATAAGAGGAAACGACCTACACATACTAGCAGGGTACGACTAAGGATACATGAATATCAAGGTAATCATGCAGCAACGGTATTCGATCAACTCCTAATTACTTAATGCACGTCTCATAAGACTTAAGGTGTAATAAAGATTTGTAAATATTAGAGAAGGGTGGTATGCACCGAGGCTTGCCTGTGTTGCAGAGAAAGTTAGTTTCCACATAAAGATCCGGTAGATAGACTTAGCACCAACACCACTGGTGGATACACCTTCTCCGAAATTTGATCAAATCGAATCTTCTCACTCTTGTATACTACACGTAATAAATGATGCTTGCTTAACATGATGGACTACATGCCATGATGCATGATGAGAGCATTCAAGTGCATAACAGAAGATAGACAAAAGTTAAGAAAGTCGAGTACAACTTTTCTTCACCAAAGAACTAGGTTTTTTAGCATAAAAGCATCTTAGTTAATTAGTTAGTTAGTTGTCTATCATGAAAGGAACTACATTAACTTGAACTAGCAAGAGATTAACATCTATCTTAAGTCATGGCCATTATAAGGAACTAATAATTAAGGCATATTAATTATTATATAAACGAGTTGATTATGTGGTTATTAAGAAAGCAACACTCTTCGCATTACACTAGTCAACAAGGTAAGGTATAACTAACATTACACCAAGTTCAACTATATGAGCAAGCAAGGATCATTACATGACCTAATCACATGCATTCACTAATTAATCATTTGAGTAAATTATTTTATTTATTAACTAACAAATTACCATGAGCATAACATGAAAAAGATTAAGTTGCTAGGAACAGCTAAGGGATTAGTGTTCCAAGGTCTACAGTCAAAGGTATAAAACACACCAAATTATTTTATGATTTATCTTAATTATTTTGGTAATTAAGTGGATAAATTAAAATTATTAAAACAATACCATAATTTTTATGAAGGCAGGTCTAAGCATGTAAATCATACACAAAAAGTTTCATGATTAAAGGATAATTATTTTAGCCTACAAAATCATGGAAGGTCCATTTATTAATTAAAAGATGTAATTTTTTTATCATACAAAAACTATTGATTTTCAGCATTTCATATTTTTCCTACAAAGAGCATATCATAACAAGCTGACCCAAAAAGTTTCTCTTTTTTTATCAACTCCGGCGAACACCTCTCTCTCACACAACCCCCGGTGGTACTAATGGATCCTCTAGCGTACTGCAACACACGCGGCGGCACACATGGCGGACGGCGGTGGTCCGGCGAGGCGAAGGCGACCGACTGCGACGACTCCGGCGACGATGAGACCACCTACAGGCTCAGCGCAACCGGCGAACAAGTCTACGGAGCTAAGTCCGGATTAGGGCTTCGTGCGCACACAACCACAGCCGTTGCCGCTCGACGGGGCAGAGCACGCCGGCGCGATGGCGGGCCGGCGGCTCCGGTGCGGTAGAGGTAAAACGGAGGGCAAGATCAGCTTCAGGATCTCACAGAGATCACATTTCGCTTGGTGGTTGAAGCGGAGGCGGCACGGACGCGGTTGCCGGCGGTGAGGACGAGCGCGGCGGCATGAACTGGACGGCGAGCTTGAGTTCTGGCACGTCCTGAGGACAAAAGGGAAACCCGACGAGCCGATAAGCATTATGTGGTCAAGATGAAGCTAAAACAGGGATTGGGAGGAAGATAGCTGCAGCGAAACGCGCTGGCCATGGTGAGGTGGTACTCGGCGGTGATGGCGTGCCGCCACGGTGGGAACCCGGCCCGTGGCCGATTCTGGCAAGGAGAGGGGGCGCGAGCGGATTGGCGAGAAGCACAAGGATAAGACGAAGCTGGGTGCGTGAGGAATTGAGCCGAGCTGTGGTAACGGCGATCAATTTGCGACGGCGATTGGAGCTCGGCCGGCGGCGGGAAGAAGGAAAGAAGAAGACGGCGACCGGCCTTGGGCTATAAACGGCACGACAAAGCTGTGAGAGGCGCCAGCAGCTGCTTGCGCTGCCACCGCGAAGCTGCTGCGTGGCCGCGCGTGAAGGAACGGCGCGAGGGCGGCGGTCGGTCGGCGGCAAGCAGGTGAAATAGGAGAAGCAGGCTGCTGCTGGTGCACTGTTCATGACTGAAACCTCTCCTTTCCCCTTTCTTGTTCTCTCGATTTTACAAAAAGAGTCACTAATCGACTTTAAGCAAAGTTATTCCCTGATCAGAGGTCTCCAACATTGCTTAAAGTATCAGCACTTGAAACTCATTGGTTTAAAAATTTTTGGTTTTGAAATCATGCACTTTAAACTGTAACTGAAATCATATTCAGAGATTCAGAAACAAATTTGATTAAGCATCTTTGAGAAATTAATTAATGGATATTTACTAATCAATCTACACAAACAAAGGTATTACTTCCAAGTATAAAGTTCACACTTTAAAACAATACCAAGGTTGCGCATAAGTTTATATATGAAAAACATTTTAATAAATTCCCAAAGATTGAGTTAAAACTAAAATCCAAAGACAGTCAAAAATTGGCTGTGTAGATTCCAATGCTTAATTCACTTTTGGAGCTCAAATTAAAACATATTTCATATGCTATCAGTGCCCAACCTTGCCACTAGTGTAAAGTATACACTTATTACTTCAAAGTTTATTAAAGCAAAATTTTAATTGTTTAAGCACATTCTCATATATAAAATCACAAATAACCTTAATCATTACATTGACATCATTTCATGCAACATGTGAAACACTGTATATGCAACATGTGAAAGCTATAAATGCAACATGAAATGCATTTATGATATGACACTTGATGCTTATGCTTGATGATGCCCATGATCATAATTTTAGTTGCTTTTAACATCTTGGATGTTACATAACGTTTGTCAAATATAAAAGTTATACTCCCTTCATTCCAAATTTTAAGTTGTTCTGATTTTTCTAAATACATAGCTTTTACCATGTATATTAGCATAATATATATCTAGGTGTGTAGCAAAAATTACGTACCTAGAAAAGTTAAAACGACTTACAATTTGGAATAGAGCCATGCAGTAGATGCTAAACATGATTTGGTGCTTTCATCAGGAAACTGGGCGCTTGATGCATTCACTATCCTCGGATTCAACGAATATATGACATTGCTGAGGTATTTTATTTTGTTTGCAGAACCATACATGAATGTTTATTAAGGTATCTACAGTTTTGGCCTGACTTCTGACTTTTGGATGGCAGGAATCCCCTGTACCTGGCTGTTATATTTGTTGTCTTCCTTGTTGGCATGGCCATTTGGGTACAGTTAGACATCTTTACATATGAAACCTGCACCCAAAAGCTGGCCGGCGAGCGTGGCCACGTCGCCAGCCGTTCCTGGCCGTCGGATCGGGCGCGTGAACGGCCCAGAGCGTGCGAGGCGTGGTTTTTTTTGCAAAAAAAACTCGAACTTTAGTCGAATCAACCCGCAGTTCAGGCCTCCTCTTAGTTTTTTTTGCAAAAAAGCCCTCAAACTTTACAGAAATCAACCCGCAATCCAGGCCCTCTCTCTCTGTCACGGCGGCGGCGAGGCAGCTATGGCGGGGCGCAGTTGGGCGAGGTGGCACTGGCCCTCGACCATGGCGGGGCAGACCCGCCCCCTGGCGCGGCGCGCCGTGGCCCTGGCCCCCAGCCATGGCAGGGCGAGGTGGCCCCGGCGCGGCTACTCCCCGGCAAGGGCGTGGCTCGATGGGTCCTCGGCGCACGGCGGCTCCACCGGCGCGAGCGGCTGCTCCCCCGGCGCCGCGGCGCTCGGGCGGGGTGGACTCCAACGCCGTCGCGGCTACAACGTCGAGCGAACTTGAGGTAGCAGCGGGGGGCTGCGGCCGTCGATTCCCATCGCGCCATTGTTGCTCTTCTTAGCTCCGCTACAGGCCACCACCATCCCGGCGAAGCCAATAGCATCGCAAGCATGCCTCTTCTGGTGCGCGCGAGGCCTCCGGCATCAACAGCTCCAGGTAGTGCCGTCTCTCCTTTCCTCGGACCTCCGTCTTCGCCCTCACCTCCTGTTCGTCGCCCCAAGCATCCAGGCGTCTGGTCCTCCCTCCGTGTTCTACCCAGCCCCATCCTCATGTCCTCTGCATCCAGCATCATCCAATGGAGGTATAGTCTCCATGCTCTCTCTCTACGTGTGTGCGAGACAGACATTTCTCACGTATTGATTAGGTTCATTCAATGTGAGATGAACTGGATAGGATCGTCAAAGTGAAAGGGAGGATGCTGCATGTTCACTGACAGATGGCATGGGGAATCAAGAGCAGCTGCTTCCAATTGAGGGAAGATGCAGACATCTTTGGTATGCTTCATGATGGACAGGCTGCTTTCTGTTGTCCTGCAGACGAGAGGAAGGTATACAGCTGCAGCACCCCCAATTCCTTTATGTGCTTCGTCATGTAAATGTTCCTACTTGGGCTTATTTTGCAGTAGTTCGCAGCTGATGCTTCAAGTTATGACCAGATTTATGTTATGCTGTTTTTGGCCCCATCTTATATGATTCACAGGCTAAGGAAACTGGACATAATGGTTTATCTGCTGCTCAAGTTCATAGCAGCATCAAATATGGATACATTTTCCAATCCAACAATTTCAGGGACTTCCGATCCTCTTTATACCAACAAGGTACATCATTTTAATTTGATTTATACATTCCATCAGATTTAGGCCATGGTGTCTTCGTTTTGGATGGAAACATTGTCATATATTACCTAACCGTCATTGCTATTCTTTGCAACCTGCATACTGGGATTCTTTAAATGTTGCCCCAAAAATATGTTCCACACACTTGTTTGCTTATTTCTTTACAGTTCATTGCACATGTCTGCCTGTGCCCACCAAACCTAAATTTATATGCCTGAGAACTTCCAACTTCAGGCTACTGTGTATGCACACTGAATACAAAACATATTGTAACATTTTTGCCGATGTTATTTTACAGATGCATGATTGAGCCGGTGCAAACATTTTAAAGTTAATCAGCCACCTGCTCCTACTACCCGTTTCGCTGTGTTCACCCAGGTCTCGCTGCGGAGTTTTCCGTAACTGTAAGTTCTTCGCATAATTTTCTAATTTGAAACAAGATAGAGCCTAAGCATCTTTGATTATGGGTTACAAAAATTGGAAGCCCTTCATGTTAGTCCGTATCTTCTCATTTTTTTTGGCTAATGGTGGCTCTTCTCTCATGTTCATGTTAGTCTGTATCCAATTATTACCATACGGATTTTCTAGCACCCTATTACCTCATGTTACTTCCATAAATGTATGTACTTGCGTCACTGTGGCTCTTCTCATTCTTTTAGCTAATGGTGCCTCTTCTCTCATGAAGGTAAGCTTCTCCAGTTCATTTTGGATTCAAGCCCAGAATGATTTATTAATAGTAGAAATATATTAGCTTCACCATTTTCTAGCAGTACCTATAATGTATCCATCACTTACTGTTTTTTGGGCATATTTATTTTCCCATTTATACCAGCTTGAACCTCCCAGAGTTGTATCAGATTCAAATGGTTGGTGCATGTTATCTCATTCATATTCTGTATTCAGTAATGAATGACAGGTCAGGAAAGGTATTTCTACTTGATAGTAAAAATTAATTTTACAAAGCACTCTGCCTCTCTGATTTCCCCAAAAAAAATTTATGGGTTTACTATTGTTATTCTAGGCTTTGGCCTTTCATGCCTGCTACGCACTATCGGCCTTCTCCGTCGATTGCTGGGAGGCTACACTACCGGAAACCGGCACTTTGCCGAGTGTCGGAATCTTTGTCAAGTGTATTTTATTGGGCACTCGGCAAAGACGGCTTTGCCGAGTGTTTTTTTTGGCACTCGGCAAAGATGGCTTTGCCGAGTGTTTTTTTTCGGCACTCGGCAAAATGAGTCTTTGCCGAGTGCCTTTTTCTGGCACTCGGCAAAGATGTATTTTGCCGAGTGCCATTTTTTGGCACTCGGCAAAATGCGTCTTTGCCGAGTGCTTTTTTTTGCACTCGGCAAAGAGGCATTTTGCCGTGTGTATTTTTTTGGTCCTCAGCAAATTATTTTTTCAAAGCAATTTTTGAGGCCCTAAATGAATTCAAATGAAAAACTTTTCAACTACAAAGTTGTATAACTTCTCAAGATCTACAAAGTTTATTTTGATCATTTCTTCATTTGACAAAGCGACAATAACGTTGTTCATAAAATCTACATCTCTCTCATATCTCTCATATTAGTTTCATGAAAGTCGAAGAGAGATATATAAGATTTATGAATAATGTTACTACCACTATGTTGGATGATCAAATGACCAAAATAAACTTTATAGATCTTGAGATGTTATGAAATTTTGTAGTTGGCAACATTTTGATTTGAAATCATCTTGTCATGCAAAAATGACGTTTGTATTTGAAAAAAATTTAAAATTTGAATTTTTCAAAAGACCTCGGATGGAAAAACTTCCTAAACGAAAATTGTAGATCCCCAAAAGTTATGAAACTATGTAGTTGACAACTTTTTGATTTGAAATCATCTTATCATGCAAAACTATGTTTGAATCTCTCAAATTTAAAATTCGATTTTTTCAAACGACCTCGGATGGAAAAACTTCCTAAATGAAAATTGTAGATCTCCAAAAGTTATGAAACTATGTAGTTGACAACTTTTTGATTTGAAATCATCTTATCATGCAAAACTACGTTTGAATCTCTCAAATTTGAAATTCGAATTTTTCAAACGACCTCGGACGGAAAAACTTCCTAAATAAAAATTGTAGATCTCGAAAAGTTATGAAACTTTGTAGTTTACCACTTTTTAATTTGAATTCATTTAGGGCCTCAAACAAGCAATTTACTCTTGATTTAGTATAATATATGAGGATAGATAACGGAATCTAGACACAAGTGACAGTGTAGTGCAGTGGTAGAGCAGCAGACACACGAGGGAGAGGTCGTGAGTTCGAATCCTGTCGGCCGCATTAGCCGCGAAATTTGCTCAAAAATTACAGCGACTTCGATGGCCGGTGGCGCTGGACGGACGGGCGCTGGCCGATGGCGCCCTTCCCCGAAAATAAAATTTTTGCTATTATTTTTGGGTTTTTTCGCATTTTTATTTTGCCGAGTGTAAATCTTTGCCGAGTGCTTTTCCGGCACTCGACAAAGGCTTCGCCGAGTGCCCGACAAAAAGCACTCGGCAAAGGCTTTTTTGCCGATTAATTCTTTGCCGAGTGTCCTTTGCCGAGTGCGGCACTCGGCAAAGCCTTTGCCGAGTGTATTTCGGGCTTTGCCGAGTGCCACAGGCACTCGGCAAAGTACCGGTTTCCAGCAGTGCTAGGACCGATTGAGAGTCCATGGCTTGCAGGTAAGTGCTCTCATCTGAAATACCTGACACTCCTACTTCAGTTATCTGTTTTTGTGTTCTTTTCTTAGTTTTATCCTCCTTTTTAATTTTATTTATATTTCCTTTTTCTTTTTTGTTGTTCTTTTATTTTATTTTTATTCTACTATTTATTTTTCTTTTTGTGGTTTTATTTTTCTTTTTTATTTCATATTTCCATCACTTATTTTTTTTAAACTAATTACTTTCTTTATTTTTTTCTCATCTTTTGTGTTTTGTTTCTATTTCCTTTCCTCCGTTTCTTTTCTTTTATCCCTTTTTATGTTTTATGCATAATTATCGCTCGGGCCTGAAAATGCTTACACTGGATTGGACTTCTACGCAACTACTAGCACCTCCATAACGCTAGCACCTACTGGCCCGTGCGGCTTGCGCGGCAAAGCCGCGCGATGTTTTCTAGTTGCCACTGAATTCCAATATGGGTTTGTGAGTATTCAAATCACAATTCTATTGTTCTATTTTTTGAAGCCTCCTAATGGTTTTGCAGACTGTTATCGGTATGCTTGTAATGTTACACAGCTTCTAGCCATTCTTTCACTGTCCACAAAGTTTGTTCCCGCTATAATGAACATTTTGATGAGATTAGCAGACGAGGGGCAAGGACCTGCAGCTTCGGACAGGCAAGGAGAGGTGGAGCTCCAACCAACATATCGTTCATCATATAGAAGTGACATCTGCAGGATCGTCCAGCATAACTGCAGCAGAGAATGGACCTGAATATTCAAGCCAGTGGCAAAATGTGTTGGTCCTAACCACCTAGCTTACCAGCACACACACTCACTCACTATGGCTAGAGGTAGAAGAAGAGATTGAGAACAGCACACACACAACACAAACACCAGCGTTATCCAAAGCCCTATTTATAACAACTGAACCGAGAATGCCCTTTAGATGGAATATATACAACTCTAGCTATACCTCTATCAGGTACATAGTTGTTGGCCAACTACCTACTCGTCGAACCCCACATCCCTAGAGATCACCACCTTGCCTCTTTTGGGATCATAAAGCCGATAGGCCTTGCTGCCGTCCTCGTAGTCCAGGAGCACCATCGACGTGCTCCTATCTTCCAGCTTGCCAAGGTGAGGCTTGGTGTTCTTCACATGGTTGACGCAGCCAAATGTCCTGAGGAAGGACACATTCGGCTTACGTCCATGCCAAGGCTCAAACGATGTCTTACCCTTCAGGGCCTTGGTGGACGCGCGGTTGAGGATAAACACCGCCGTGGTCACCGTCTCTCCCTAGAACTCCGCTGGCATCTTTCTTAGCCTTCATCTTGGATCAAGCCATGCCGACCACCGTCTGGTTCCGCCGCTCCACCACGCCATTCTGTTGTGGCGAGTACGGCGGGGTGTGGTGTCGCACCATGCCCTGATCCGCGCAATACGCAATGAATTTCACCGAAGTGAATTCGCCGCCGCGATCAGTCCGCAGCACGCGCAACTTCTTGTCGCTCTCCGCCTTCGCGCGCGCCTTGAACTTCTTGACCGCTTCCGTCGCCTCGGTCTTGCTGGTCAGAAGCTGCAGCCACATGTACCGGCTGCAGTCATCCACCAGCAAGATGAAGTACTTGCGCCCATCGGGCGTCGCCGGCGTGATCGGCCCATAGAGGTCACCATGGACCAGCTTGAGGGTTTCTGCCACGCGGTACTTCGCCGTCTTCGGGAATGACAACCTTCTTTGCTTTTCGGCTAGGCAGCTGTCACACAGCTCGCCTGCGTGTTCGATGTGAGGCAGCTTAGTCACCATCTTCTCCAGCCGACCAAGAGCGTCAAAGCTGAGATGTCCATACCGGGCATGCCACAACCATGGCTCCTCCGTGCACCGTGCAGCCAAGCAGATGGGCTGCTCCACCTTGAGGTCAAGCAGGTATAGCCGGTTCTGGGACCTCTTCACCTTGGCAAGAAGCCGCTGCTCCCGGTCCCTAATCCTGAGGACGTCGTCCTTGATCAGTACCTCGCTGCCACGCTTATCTAGCTGGCCAATGCTGATGATGCTTAAATGCAGCTGCGGGATGTAATATACATCCGCTAGCACGCGGTGCTCGTCGTTCTGGCACCTGAAGATGATGGTTCCACGTCCTCGGATCGCCACCCTTATGCCGTCATCGAATTTCACCGTGCCGGTCACGTCGTCGTCGAGCTCGAAGAAGGCTGCCTTGGAGCCCGTCATGTGGCTGCTGGCGCCGGAGTCCAGGTACCACCGCTGCTCCTGCTCGCCGCCCACACGTTCGAGGTGGACTTGGGCGCGCGGTTCGTCGAGGTTGACAGCTTTTAGAGCCTTCCCAGGCCCTTCCACCGCCATCACCTCTCCCTTATCCTTGGCATCAACATCGTGTAGTGCACAGAACGTCGCCATCAGGAGAGTGGCCTCATCATCATCATCAGCTTGCGCCAGATGAGCCTCAGCCTTCTTCTCCTGCTTACGATTTGGGCACTCCTCCTCTGTCAGCAGCAGCTTGCCGCTGTCCGTCGTTGCTGTGGTCTGCTCCATGCGCTCATCCACCGCCCGCAGACGGCCTGTCACATCCTCAATGGTGAGGGTGGACAAGTCCAGCATCGTCTCTATGGAGAGAGTAATCTAGATGTACTTCGCCGGCATGGAGTGGAGGTACTTGGAGACCGCCTCTTCTTTGTCGATGGTAACACCGTGGCTCCTCAGCTTGCTGATGAGCGTTTGCAGGCAGAGAGAAATTCTCCACCGCCTCATCATCCTTAAACTTGAGGTTGGCGTACTCCTGCTTCAGCAGCTGGGCCGTCGCCTTCTTTGCGCGGTCGAAACCGACGCGCATCGCCGCAATGGCATCCCACGCCTCGTTAGCAGAGCTCTTCGTCCTCAACGGCTCCCTGTACTCCACTGGTACAGCAGTGAGGATGGTCTTCAATGCTGACATGTCGTCTTCTTCGTTGTCGATGCCCTTGTTAATGGCATTTCAGAGCCGTCGGGCTCTGAGCTTGACTTTTATGGTCACCGCGCCATTCGCCATAGTTGGTGCGAGTCAGCGTCGGCCAACTGGTGCCGCTGACCTCCCGTACCGTGCGCAAAACGACCTCCCGTCGTGGCTGGGCAGCTACAGCAGCACCGTTGTTGTCGCCTATCTCTAAACCGTCCGTCATCGCCAGCGGTTAGTCCGGCGACGGCGCTTGTACGGCTCTGATACCACTTGTTGGTCCCTGGCTGCCCTACACAGGTAAGCAACTAGCTTACCAGCACACATACTCACTCAATATAGCTAGAGGTAGAAGAAGAGATTGAGAACAACACACACATATCATAAGCACCAGCATTGCCCGAAGCCCTGCCCTTTGGTTTGTGGCAACTGAACTGAGTATTCCATTGCTCTCTAGATGAAATATATACAACTCTAGCTGTACCTCTATCAGGTATATAGTTGTTGGCCAACTACCTACTCCTGAGTACAAAAGTACACCAACTACCTACTCCTAAGATACATGGTTGTTGGCCAACTACCTAATCCTGAGTACAAGAGTACACCAACTACCTACTCCAAAGGTACATGATATATCAACTACTCCTAGCAGTACAAAGCTTACCTCAGCCTACTACCAAGACATGGCTGATGTAATAGCTACCAACTAATGTACTAGAGTTGGATTATTGCAATACTGCTACAGGCTATAGCTACAAGAACTGGTTGACAGAGCCGATCAGTCCCCAACTTCCAACAGAGAGTGGTGAGAAATGGGGAGCAACAGATTATGTCTAACAAAATGATTTCTTACATCTGTGCTTTTTGGGTGAATATCTATCGTAGAAGCTGAGGCAGCGGATGGAATTTGAACCTACTAGGTTTCCCTTCGCAGATCGGCGTATGGAGATCACGTGACGCTGCCCACTGCTTATATTTAAGGAATTTTGGGGCTAGGAGCTGCCTATATAAATGTTTATTTAGTATATAGGCCTTGATATCTAACTGAAATAAGGTTGACCCAATTAAACTAGACAAATGTTAGCTTTAGGTGACTACGCAATATTACGTCCCGTTATGATGCATGACATGTTTGAGTACTGGACAATAAATCATATGTCTCGGTGCAACGCACGGGCATGTTTTGTTAGTCGATAGAAAAAAGTACTTATTATAGTTGCACGGTTAGCGGGTCACCAGTTGTCCAATTGCATCCATGCATGCTAATCCATCTCTGCACCGATCGGCGCCAGCACGCCGAATTCCAATTCAGGCAACAATAGCAGGTGAAGTGGTGAACTTGCGGCCATCCACACATGTCAATTGTGACAGAATGTCGGTAGATCTCGCTCCCGTATCAGTCTTCGTCCTCGACTCCTCTAGTCCTCTTCGACTCCCTGGATCCTGTCACGTGCTAGCACTACCAACGTGGCAACGTACGCATGATATCGTCAGCTAAAAAGCTAGTACTTAGGAATTACCGGCGAATTAGCGACAAGATAGGTTTGAATTTTTACAAACACGAATGCGTAGCTCTTACAGCTTCCGGAGATCACGAGGTTTCCGAGTAGCACGATGACTGGATGAGGCGATGAGCACAACCGCCATCACCACGGTTGCCGTCTGCCTGCCCTTCGATCATATGAGCCGCATGTTTTCAAAAATACAAAATCATTTTTATAGTGGTAATAACCTGACGGTGGCAACACATGCATCATCGAATGCAAAATTGGGGAACTTTTCCTTTCAATTAAAATGTAAACATGCGCTTCCAAAAAAATCACTTGGCTAGAGATGATAATTATTCCTGAAACATAACGACACTATTTTGAAGTCCGAAAAACATAAACACAGTACAATCATCTTTATAACAGGTTCCTCTTGTGCATATCGATAATATATCCGATGCACACTGGCAGGTGTCTGGCTCTAATGGTCAATTTCTGTGCTTGGATTTCTTCAAGGTGACTACAATGACAGGGCACATGGCCCTACCTTTCTCAAGGTTCTTTGCAAGGACGGAGGCATACACAACGAACAACTCGTCAAGGATGTCCTCACCAAATTGGTTCCTGATCAGTGGCTCAATAATAGCTCTTATGATGTTGGCGATGTTTTTTGCGCTGCTAGAACAGTCGAGAACAACATCACCATCTGAGTCATCATGGGCATCCCAGTTTGACTCGAAGAGTCTAATGTCTTGAATGTCAAATAGGTCACTATGCTTGATCAACTGCCACCTCATCTACAGATGGTTCGTAGTATGGCATGTTGAACGAGCTAAATTTCTTCTTCTCCACACGGCCCTACAAATGAAAACATGCATCACGTAGGGTTACAGTAAAATAATAATATATTTATTGGTTGTGGAAAATAGAACTGTCAGTTAAGCAACTCGATTGTTTTTTTAGTGTCAACTGTAATTGACAAGGATGCAAGCAGACTTGTCCATGAACCCGAGAACCCACAAAAATTAGGTCTATTTGCAGCTTCGCAGACAAGCCTGCTTTCATCCTAAGGCCATGTTTAGATTGCAAAAAATTAATTGATTATTTATAAATATTGTCCAATTGTGGACCAACTAAGCTCAAAAGATTCATCTCGTGATTTCCAACTAAACTGTGCAATTAGTTATTTTTTTTACCTACATTTAATGCTCCATGCAAGCGGCTAAAAATTGATGTGATGGAGAGAGAGTGAAAAAACTTGGAATTTTGATGTAAACTAAACAAGGCCTAAGTAATTGATCTATATATTATTGATAAACTCTAGATTGATCTTTTGATGGTCTTTATTACTCATTTCGTAGAGTCCGAACATGGTTGTACTTTGGACTAGGTACTGGAGCGCTTCAGAAAGCAGTTCCCAAACACGTGCCACACCTCCTTGCGTTGGTATCTCTCCCTGCTTTTGGCCAACAAATGTGTCAGCAGCACCCCTGCTGATCCAGCTGCGCTCGCCACCAAAGAAGCCATGAAGGAGCGGCCCAAGACGACATGGCCCAAGAGGCCCAACCCCAAGTACATCGGCAAGGAGTGGCAGGGCTGAGGCGCTTGCACGCACGCCATGAGACCTGGTCTCTGTAATCCATATAGCTATCGGAGAGAACAGAGAGGGGACACGCTATTGTAAACGACATATTCTATTTCTCAAACTAAGCACCCATCCGTACTCGTATCCTGTTCTTCTTCTTCCTCAAGGCTCCGCTCTTCCTCCCCAAATCCTTCTCAATCCTACTAGCTCTCACAAGTGGTATCAGAGACACCGTTCCTTGGCCGATTGATCGCCAGACTCGCTGAATTCCATCGGTTGTTTGAAACCCACCGGATCTGGTTGGTCTAACCTCTATCCAAGTCTGTGAGCTGCAGCTTGTGTTGAGGATTCCGTAATTATAATCCATGGTTCGCAATTTGTGGCGCGTTCCGCCTATCCGGAACCCACCTCCGTCGCCGACCACGAGCACTTCACCCGCTTGCAGCGCCGCCGCGGAGCCATGAGTCCGGAAACGAAGATGCTGCTTGAGGAGCTCGACAAGCGCTTCGCCGCCCAGGACAAGCGTTTCGGTGGTATTGAGCGCAAGCTCGACGCCACCACGACCTCCTCGAACACCCGTCTCGACGCGTTGGAGTCCTCCACCAGGGTGTTCGACGAATGGCGCCCCAGCATGGAGGGCATGGTCGATGACCTGCGGCTCGAGGTGAACAAGCTCGTGACCCTAAAGCTCGAAGTTGGGAAGATTCCCAAGTACGAGGAGCGTTCGATGGTGGATGCACCGTCGACGACTTCGGGTGTGTTCGCGCCCGCGTTGCTTGCCAAGTCTGCATCGGCACCCTCTTCCCCAAGCGCCATCATCCACGACGCCAAGCCCGCCATCTCCCCCAACTTCAAGTCCGCCGTCAACAACAACTTGAAGTCAGCCATCAACGGCGCCTTCTAGGCTGCCTGGCGTGCCCCTGCCGGATTCATAGCCGAACCGCCCAGTAGGCACCGCGTCAAATTTCGGAACCGGGAGGGTGAATTTGGAGTGGTCACCACTCTAATTCCACCCCCCAACAAGGGTACGTTGCCTTGCTGTCCTCCTTCTCCTCTTCCATTACCATGTCCACCTCCGCGTCCACCACCACCACACCCACCACAACCACACCCGGGTGGTCGTTGGGAGTCCAATCATCAGGGGGGTTCTGGGGGCGACCATACCGGCAAGCTTCCCAAGTTTGATTTTCCTCTATTCGAGGGGGATCATCCTAAGTTGGGGATCAAACAAGCCATACACTATTTTGAGTTATATCGTGTTGAGTCCGCTGTGTGGGTTCAGGCTGCCACTATGCATTTCCATGGCAACACCAAACGTTGGCTGTCTTCGGTTGAAGATCGGCTTGAGGCCATCACTTGGTCTGATTTCTGCTCTCAATTGCTGTTGTGCTTTGCCTGGGATGAGCATGAGCTGCTGTTACGTCACTTATTCCAAATCCCTCAAATTGGGCCTGTCAATGAATATATAGATCAATTTGTTGCTCTTGTTGATGACCTCAAATCCTATGCCAAGCATCCCGGGCCACTCTATTACACATAGAGTTTTATTGATGGCTTACGTGATGAAATCAAAGTAGTCATTCTTGTTCAGCGTCCTTCCACATTGGATACTGCTTGTATACTTGCTCAATTGTAGGAGGAAGCGCTGAACACGGCTCGGCGGCCTTATCGGCACCTGGAGCCTCCACTGAGTCAGAAGCCTGGGTGGCACGCACCATTGCCTCTGCCAGCTTCTCCACCCAAGCTCGCTGGTGCGGATGTCAAATGCCTAACAGACACTCCCCATTCTACTGCTGAAGACAAGTTTCAGGCATTGAGGGTGTCCCGTCGCGCCCGAGGGTTGTGTATCAGGTGTGGGGCTAAATGGAGCCGCGATCATAAGTGCTCTGAGGTGGTGCAGCTGCATTTGGTTTAGGAACTCTTGGATATCTTTCCTTTGGACGATGATATTGATGACGCTAGTCCCCGTTCTCCAACAGCCTCACAATTGATGATGCATCTCTCAGTAGCCGCGGTGGCTGGGGTTTCGGCTCCCAAAACATTCAGTTTGTCTGGTGACATTCAGGGCATGCCATTGTCTATCCTTGTTGATTCCCTGCAGCTCTCACACGTTTATCAGTGCTGATAAAGCTCTTTCTGTCCCTGGTATTCATAAGCTTGACCCAGCCTTGCAAGTGCAGGTTGCCAATGGTGCTGTTTTGACTTGTGCTTCTTATCTCCCAGCAGTTACTTGGTCGGTACAGGGTTGTTTTTTCACTATGGACATCAAAATTTTGCCTCTGTCCTCGTACGACATGATTCTCGGTCTTGATTGGTTGGCTAGTTTTAGTACGATGTAGGTTCACTGGGCGTAGCGCTGGATATCCATTCCATATCAAGGCGGTACTACAGTGTTGTGGGGTGATTGCCCAGAATTGCCAGTTGGCTCTGTGTTGCAGTTGTGCTCAGTTCAGGAGGAGGTACCTTCTATTGCTGATTCCTCATAGCTGCATGCCGTTCAAACATCGCTGTCAGAATTTACTCATCTCTTTGAACCAGCTTCTGGTCTACCTCCTAGCAGAGATTGTGACCATTCTATACCATTGATTCCAGGTGCTCAACCAGTTTTTATCAGGCCCTATCGATATGCCCCAGCTCTAAAGACTGAAATTGAACGTCAAGTGCAACACATGCTCGACCAAGGCATTATCTAGAAAAGAAACAGTGCTTTCGCCTCACCAGTCCTCTTGGTGAAAAAGAAGGATCACACATGGCGTTTCTGCGTCAATTACCGACAACTGAATGCTATTACAGCTAAGAGCAAATATCCTGTGCTGATCATTGAGGAGCTACTTGATGAGTTGTCAGGAGCAGCCTACTTTACCACTCTTGACCTCCAGTCTGGCTTTCACCAAATTCGTATGAAGTCTGGAGAGTAGTTCAAGACCGCATTTCAATCCCACTTTGGTCAGTTCGAGTTTCGTGTTATGTCCTTTGGATTAACGGGGGCCCTTCGGACATTTCAAGATGCAATGAATACAACTCTGCACCCTTGTCTTCGCAAGTTTGTACTGTTTTTCTTTGATGACATCCATATCTTCAGTACCTCTCTCGAAAGCATTCCCTCTTCATCTGGACCGCCGACCATGGGGCTTCATTTCTTGCCCTCAAAGCCGCTCTCTGTCAGTCACCTGTGTTGGCGCTTCCAGATTTCACCAAACAGTTCACTATTGAGATGGATGCTTCTGATTCCGGAGTTGGTGCAGTGCTTATGCAAGACGGCCACCCACTTGCCTTTCTCAGCAAAGCTTTGGGTCCCAAGTCTCGTGGACTATCCACGTATGAGAAGGAGTTCATGGCCATCCAACAGTGCGTTCCTGCCTCCAGTTCAAGGAGTTCATCATTCTGACCGATCAACGGAGTTTGACTCAACTCAGTGACCAACGCCTCCATACTCACTGGCAACAGCGTGTCTTTTCCAAGTTATTGGGCTTGCAGTACCATATCGTCTATCATTCTGGTTCAACTAACAGAGCTGGTGACGCTTTATCGCGTCACCAAGCCCCTCCAGCTGTCTGCGCCACCATATCGGCGTTGGTCCCAACTTGGATTTCTTCGGTGCTGGCTAGCTATGGCGATGACGATCATGGTAAGGAACTCATGTCCAAATTAGCTATAGATCCATCAGTTGTGCCTCATTTTACTCTGCACTCCGACGTACTTCGTTACCGTAACAGAATTTGGGTGGGTAAGGATCTAGACCCTCAACAGCTGCTTATTGCAGAGCTCCACTCCAGTGCTTGGGGGAGGGGGTCATTCTGGTGTGCCAGTTTCATATATGTGCCTGAAATAGTGCTTTGCCTACCAGGTTACGAAGACTGCCGTTAAAGAGTTTGTGCAATCATGCTCCATATGTCAACAATCGAACTATGAACGCTCTAAGTCTCTAGGACTGCTTCAACCACTCCCTGTACAAGAATCGGCCTAGCAGGTCATTTCTCTAGATTTCATTGAGGGTCTCCCCCTGTCCAGCTCATTCACTGTATATTGGTGGTGGTGGATCTCCTGACAAAATATGGTCATTTCATATCGCTCCGTCATTCATTCACTGCTTCCAGTGTGGCCAAATCATTCTTTCAGACAGTCTACCACCTTCATAGACTTCCGGGTTCTATCATCTCTGACCGGGATCGTATATTCACAAGTCATTTTTGGACAGAGTTGTTCAAGTTAGCTGATGTGAAGCTTTGCAAGAGTACAACATACCACCCTCGGTCTGAGCATACCACCCTCAGTCTGATGGTTAGACGGAGCGCCTAAACCAATGCTTGGAGACTTATCTCCGTTGTTTTGTGCATGCGTGTCCGCATCAGTGGAGTCAATGGCTATCATCCGCCGAGTTTTGTTATAATACTTGTCAGCACTCAGCCATCGGTCGGACCCTATTTGAAGCTCTGTATGGTTACGCCCCAAGGTTCCTGGCGGTCAATCCTGTTGCTGTTTCCAACTTTGAGGTGTTCGGTTGGGCTTCTAATCGCCAGTGGATGGATCACCTGTTACAACACCACCTGAATCGCGCCAAGATCAGAATGAAAAAACAGGCTGATCAGCACCATTCAGAAAGAAGCTTTGAGGTTGGGGATCAAGTCTACCTGAAGTTGTAGCCGTATGTTCAGACTTCTCTTGCCCCTCGCTCCCACCAGAAGCTTGCCTTTCGCTTCTTCGGTCCCTTCAACATCACTGCAAGGGTTGGCACGGTTGCTTATCGATTGGATCTGCCTGCTCATTCCGCTATTCAAACAGTATTTCATGTTTCTCGGTTGAAGCGGGCGGTGGGTCAGCACCATCAGGTAACTCCAATTTTACCCACTGACTTCACACTTCATTTGGTACCTAAGCAGATTCTTCAGACCCGAGTGGTCTCTCGCGGCGCCCATCGTGTGCAACAAGTGCTTGTTAAGTGGAACAACCTTCCTTTCACTCTTGCAACTTGGGATGATTATGAAGCCTTGCGTCAAGAGTTTCCCAGAGCCACTGCTTGGGGGCAAGCAGTGTTCCAAGAAGGGGGGGGGGGTGTCAGCAGCACCCCTGCTGATCTAGCTACGCTCGCCACCAAAGAAGCCATGAAGGAGCGGCCCAAGACGCCAACCCCAAGTACATCGGCAAGGAGTGGCTGAGCTGAGGCGCTTGTACACGTGGCATGAGACCTGGTCTCTATAATCCATATAGCTATCGGAGAGAACAGAGAGGGGACACGCAATTATAAACGACATATTCTATTTCTCAAACTAAGCACCCATCCATACTTGTATCCTGTTCTTCTTCTTCCTCAAGGCTCCGCTCTTCCTCCCCAAATCTTTCTCAATCCTACTGCTAGCTCTCTCAAAATGTTAGTACCATATGGCTACCAGATACAAGTTCTTCGTACCACAGCTTCAGAAACAATTCAAAGTCCTTTCCAAATTGTTCCTGGAACAGTTTTACCACAACTTGTGGAGTAGTCTTCCCAATATAGATGTTGCCAACATTCACTTGATTTCCATTTGAGAGATCCTCAGGGACCTAGATACCAAGTAGCATGCATAAGAAAAACGACAATACTCATTAGTTGTCCTTTCAAATGATCAAGACTGAAATCGTTAGTTCGAAAATATCTGTCTACTTTATAGGAACTCACTGCTTGTTGCATTGAAGGGGTCGGGTGGTGGTGTGTGTGCGTGTGGGTGGGTGGGTGGGGGGGTGGGTATGGGCTGGGTGCTCAATATTTACATTTTTGTGCTCTTCCTATGTTATACTAATGGTGTGATATATAGATTTTGAAAGATTTAAGCCATGTTCGTTTTCTATGACAACCAAGGGGAATGAGAGAGACTGAGGCTTTGTTTGGATGTAGTCGGATTTGCATCAACCGCGCTAGATGTGTTT